GGGGGGGGGGGCGTGGGGGTTAGTCAAGCATCTAATGGAATCAGAGATAGGGACAGAGGGGGGTGGTAGCAGGTTGAGACGGCAGCAGGGTAGGAGGAGGGATGGAAACGGAGACTTGCCGGTGGTTAATGGGAGGAGAAAGGGGAGGGGCTCTGGAGTGGATGAGATGAAAGTAATTGTGGTACAGTGGAGGGAGTCCCAGACAGGGAGTGGATGAGATGAAAATAAGCCCTGACCGGCATCAAAACATCTCTCTAAAGGAACTTTGCTCAAAGGATTATGAAAAGTTTGGATGTAATTGATCTTTCCATTTAGAGAGTTCTCAAAACACAGTGAAAACCTCCACAAGCGCTGAGTCAAAACTGGATATTCAGGGAGGTAAAGTAAATGAACCAGTAGTTGAGAACCAGAACAAGGGGCAGCTTATTCCGGAAGAGGAGAGGGAGAAGCGGAGTGTTCGGAATATAACTTGTCCTAGCGTTTCATGCTTATTTTTTAATGATCCTTGTTCTAAGCTATTGAAAAAATGATTCCTGATTCTCTTCTTTTCTTTGAACTCTCTCAGATGCTCTTTTATGCAATCATGAATCTCCACTTCTGAACTATTATTTCAGTTGGAATTATCTACTTTCTATAGCTCCCCTTATATGTACACGCATCTACTGTTAGTTTTACCCCACTTCTATGCGGAGTGCAGTTCATGCTTTTTTTTGTTAGGGTGACCATACCATAGTGTAATGGACCATGGTATATATATGGTACTCTCAGTTTGCATGAACTCCCCAATTGACGGATGGCTGGAGATTGATTGAAAGTGTGCCCACGGAGACATCTACTCGAGAATGATAGTAAATTGCCAAGTGTTCTACAACAAAAGAGATGTTTGATATTGCTTGGAGCATCGTATACCACAGTTGACTGTTTCTCTTATGTTATCTTAACTGCCGCTGAATATATAATGAAAACATAGTATCTTTTGTGCAGAGTTTGCGCTGACTGCCACTTACCAGGCACCATATGCATGTGGACGGATTGTGCCACTTGCTTTGAGAGCTGTGCAAGCACTGTAGGGGAATGTGGAACCTGCTTAGGGGGTGCTGGTGAAGCTGGGCTTCCTATACTACTAATTGTTGGGATCATCATCTTAGGGCTCTTCACTGTGGTAGGGATATTTTACAGCGTGCTCGTGGCTACCATGGTGGGGCAGAGGATTTGGCAGCGCCATTACCATATTCTTGCCAAAAGGATGCTTACAAAAGTGAGTCAGAGGCCTTTTTGTATTCGCCTTTTGTTCTCTCTCTCTCTCATAACAATATTCCATATAGGACTTTGTCATGCAACAAAGTTTGTGCAAAATGGAAATGTTTCGAAAAATTGCTTTGATTCATTTGTAGACCAAGTAAGATTGACTTTCGAGTTTGGGCGGCTTTTGCAGGAATATGTGGTGGAGGATGTGGATGGTGAGGCGATGGAACCTAATTGGAGCCCTCCGCAGCTCCCTCCAGAACACATTCAGCAGTTGAAGTCTCTTGGGTTGCTGTAATTTATCTCTGGTTTTCTCAGTGCTTAAGAATTGGCCTATTCGTCGTACAGAGAAAAGCTTGAGGATTGGGTTCTAAAAAAGCTGAAAGAACTAGGATGAACTAGAGTCCTCTTTTAATAGCATTGAAACTCGTCGCAGTTGTGGCACTGAGATGAATTATTTCTTTTTTTTGAAATATTGTATGTATTTGCAGCTTTGTTTCTAGCAGCTCCTAAATGAAGAGGACTTTGCTGATCTATGTATCTTAAGTGATAAGAAATGGCTTCAACCATTGTAAATTTTAGATGAAGCTCCACAGAATGATGGCTTTTCGTAAAAAAAATAGGGGTTCTGAGAAATCCGATGTGCCGAATTGTGTTTCATCTATGATTCATTGTTGCTCTCTCTATATCTCTCTCTATCCACGTTACCTTGTTACAATTATCGAGGGCGTAGCTAGGGAAAGGGCAGACTAAACTTCCATGAAGCAAGCCTCAAGCTCTCATCAATTACAGCAAAAAGAACGCCTCATGTTCTCACTCCTCACAACCAAGTTCTACAGCCTCCCTTTACATGAAGTAGCAAATAACTGTGGGTACACAAAGTATTGGATCACCATAAACATCGTTCAGCAACTTAGCGTGCAATTATGGGGCTGGGAGTGGTTAGAACCAGAAACCCAACTTTTTATATAAATTAATATATGAATATTATGGAGATACGCAAAACAATTTATAATTTAACATTAATTCAATTGATGGAGTTACAAAGTCTAAATAACAATGTTAATAGTAAAGAGAGTAGCTAGGGGGGCTAAGGTACTGTTGTGTCTTGCTATTAAGGTTCACTCAATGAAAATTTTGAGAAAGGCGAAGAGTTTAAACTTTAACTTTCAAACTTAAAAACTCTTATGCTTATTATTCTTATTGTTGAAAATATAAGTACACATATGTTTACACACTCCAGTTTCAAGTTTTACAATACGTATTATTCTAATATAAGAGTATGGGCATACAATTATAGAATTATAGAGAGAGAGGAGAGGTTTCAAGTAGAGATCAAAAAAGATTTTTATGTTACTGCAACCTTTCATAATATTGACATCTTGAAGACATCTTAGAGATCGGGAGCATCACATAGTCTTAGTTCATTTACCATCCCTCTGTCAGCATGCATATTTTTGGTTATATCTTGCACTTAAGAAAAATATAAAAAAACATATCATGCAAAAAATTGAGAAAAAAAAAAAATCGAGCAAAAGAAATGTCATTAAAGATATTGAGCGAAAAAAAATTGAAGGAAAAGATCAAGCAATATTATCGTGCATTGTAACATTAAAAAAATCGAGCAAAAAAAAATCGAGCAGCATTATCATGGAATGTTTTTTGTACATTAAAAATAGAAGAATCTATTTTTTGTCATAATTCATCCAAAAATATATTTTTTTATCAAAAAATGTAATTTTATAAAAAAAACATAATTTTATTAAAAAAAAAGAAAAACACTTCTCATATTCATCATAAAGCATAGTTTTATATGCGAAATAATTTTTTTTTAAAAAACCAATTTATCAAAAACCCCTAAAATCGAGCTCCAAATGTATGATTTTCAATGAAATTAGGAGTTCAATAGTCTGAACATCTCTGCCATCCACAAAAGCCCCCTATTTTGATCGAGAAACAATAAAACAACAACGCTACAATCTGTAGTTTGTCGGATTTTTCTCGAAACATTGAAGAACACAAAAAAAAAGGGCAAGAAAAATTGACTTTCGTTGAGTTTTTATTCTCAAATATGTTTATTTATTGGATGCAATCAATAATTTCAGTAAAATAGTGTCTGAAAAATACTAAAAGAGAAAGAAAAAGTAGGAAAAAAAATAAAAAAAATTCAGGATAAAACGAACATTGTTTTCTTCTAACTCAAATGAAGCCCTAATCTCAAATCGAGCTCGAAATCTCTAGATTTCGATCAAATAAGGAGTGTAGTAGTGCTGATATGTCTGTCATCGACAAAATCCCTCCATTTTGATGTAGAAAAATTAAAAAAAGAGGCCAAAATCTTTAGATTGGCGGATTTATCACAAACTTTGAAGCGTACCCAAATAACAGCCAAGAAAGTGGAATTTCGATGCCATTTTGATTTCAAATCGATTGATTTATAGGCGAAAAGCAAAAATTTCGATCAATTATTAGCTACAAACACTTGTATAAGGCTGAAAAAGCATGGAAAATGGAATCAAATGTTCAATCAAGAGAAACATGTGACTTCTGCATCAAATAAGACCCCTATAAAAAATAACAGACGTTATACGTTATTTCTCCATTATATTATGTTACAATCCATTTTTTAAACTAACCAATCCGATTTACCAAAAAGCCTGCAGGTTTAATATAAAATTGGCCGGTTCGACTAGATATCGACGAATATTGGACAGGATATTTTTTGGGGTATTTCATATACATGTTAGAACACCAAAACCAGGCTTAACCGGAGTCGGAACCCTAACGGTTCCGATCTAACCGGCTGGTTTTTCGAACACTCAGGGCCAGCAAAACCATGGAGCACAACTGATCAGAAGAGACAACACAACCGTGAAGCACTAAATGATATTCAAGATTCAACCAACAGGCAGGGACTATAATTTGGGAGCATGGTACCCCTCTAGACTTCACTAGACCATAAGCTTTCTAGACTTGAAACTCTCTCAACTCGTAAATTTTGGCGCATTCGATGAGAAATGGAAGATTTCGTGAATCCATAGTATATGAACCGGTTGGAAATTTGCTATGGGGGCATATTCCACAAGAGTGCAAAACATTGTGTGCAATAAGATCTAAGAAAATTCAGCTGTGGCACCAATATGTAATAAGAAGAGGAAAAATAGACTTAATAGTTTGGCTATATGTATAACGTCGATCTAGTTTAACACCAGTTAGGAGGAGCGATTCGATTCAAGAGGAAGACTCTAAAAAGGCAATGAGAATGCATAGATTAAAATAATGAAAAGAGAAATGGTAACTTATAATCTCAATGAGAATATAATTTTTGATAGAGCGGAATAGCGAAACATGATTCCCATAAATAGCTGAGATGAAGCTCCGATGATGATAATGATGAATCTCTTTATTTTCCCAATGGATAACAACCTTCCATTAAATAAAAATGATACACCACGAAACAATAACTTCATTCCATCACACCGGATTTCTTCGAGTGCATTCATTATTAACCTTATAATGAGCAGTAATCTCTTCTTGATATCAACCATCAAAATCCACCAAGAGCAAATTAGGAATTTTGGATATTCAGGCTTCAAGCAAGAGACCTCCAAAGCATCATCGCAATGCACCAAACTAAGAGGCGCCGCCCGGACATGAGATGGAGCACGTTCTTGCCCAAAACAATCTCAATAGACCGTTCTCATCAGTTGCACTACTTAAAATTAGAGTTGCTTTAAACCTTTAGCCTATTATTCCCATTCACGAGTCAAGAGTTGAACAAAATTTGGCATCTATCTTCACCAATGAGCTACAAAACGCATTCAACATAACATATCAATTAGTCTTGCATACAAAGTAATAGAAGTCATTCATTGAGTGGAAGAAATACAAAGCCCCATTAGAACCAGATAGAAGGAAGAAGGAAACACTAGAAAACTTAAGAGCAAGGGAAACAAGAATGGATCTCGGATTTTGAAAGTTAAGACCCATCCAATTTTTTGGGAATTCCCCTATCATCTTCGTCAAAGCCTTTTCCTAACTACTTAAGATCGGCTATACGAATCTTGGTCCGTCATTATGCTCTATTAAGGACCATACCTTTAGTGAGATCATAAGTCTCCAAAACTTTTAACTACTTCCAACCATATCCTTTTGGGCCTACTTTTGCCCTTTTTAAACCTTCCATTTGAACTAACTTGCACCTCCGAATCGGAGTTGTACTAGGTTTGAACCACACATGGTCAGCCCATCTAAATCCACTCTTTCTCATCTTTTCGGAGATTCCCTGTAAATTCTCAAAATCGTACGAAAACTTATGCAAAAACATCTTTTCCATTTGTTTGCAAACTGATACTATATCTGCATCCCTTTGAGCAATTTTTGCATCTCAAAGGTTGTGGTGTCTGTGCCTAAGGATCACCCTTCCCTCCAAACTAATCCCAAAAAGTCGAGGATTACACATCAAATGGTTCTTGTCAACTTAATTTTCTTAGTGAAATATGAGCATACCAAACTTAATTTCGTTAGTGAAATATTCCACGACGCTCTGCAACTTCTTCTTCGACAAAAACAAATTTGGAAACCTTCCAAATGCACGTGAAACATAATACATGAGAAGGGAAAAGAGGAATTGTGTTTTGGATCACCCATAATCCATGTAACGTAACCTTCAAAATGCAGCATAGTGTTTTGGATCACCCACTGATCTGGATAGGCCGATCAATCCAAATTGTCAAACCAGTTTAAGCTAATGAAAAATAAAACTGGGGCCATTTTGGGGGAGGGGACCCTGATTGACCACCCATTGAAACCAATCAGGACTGGCAATTCCAGATCCAGATTGCCAAGTTTCAAACATTGATTCTTATATTCTCAGTTTATTACATGCCTGACTCAGTTTATTATGGTACATGAACCATAATCAACAATTATAGTTTCTTGAATTCCTGTAGTTTATCATTAGTTCTCAATACTAGCAATTAGGTTGTGAAAAGTGGTAAGAACCAGCATACACTGAACTCTCCCTATAAATAGAGGAACTTTCATCACAGGTGTGGCTACTTAAAGATGGGCTATAAGTACTGTTTTTTTGAAGCTGTATTTACTCAGAACTGTTTATAAAGCTGCTCCATGAAAAATTTCACTGATCAGTGTGGTTAGATGATGAAGAAATGGGTGCAACTGTTGTAACTTTCCTATGCAGCTTTGAAAAAAGGTGGTGGTCATAATACAGAGGTACAATCCCTCTGCAGAAACCACAACAAATTGTCCCCAAAAGAAAACAAAAGAAAATTTCCAAGGGTTCAGAAAGAAGGCAGTAGTCATAATTCGGAGATACAATACCCCACCCCGAAACCACAAGAAAATGTCCTCATCTCCGTAGAAAATGCACCAACATTTCCATGTAGAGGATGTTCTCATGCAATCATGATCTCAACCCCAACCCAACAGCTTAATCCCACCTGGCCGTGGATTTCATATTTTACATACTCTTATCCATAAAAGTGTCCTAAAACCTGATTTACTATTATAAAAGGCAAAACCTCCGTTTTTCTTTTACATGATTGATGAAAAGATTCCATTCAATAAAACACAGCAGAAAACACTGAAATAATCAGACAATGTAAACAAGTAAAGTAAACCGAGACAAATAGAAGTTAGTCACCTAAATTGATAGTAACCTGAGATGCCCTTCCTTCATCCAGAGACCATCGCTTCGGTGGCCACAAAAAGTGGCGGGAAAAGATGATGGGTTGAGGGAAACACATCCTAAAACTATAGTAATATACTCGCAAACCACCATATGGTTCGAGTCTCACCTAGCTCACATAATGAGAGTCACCCTCTATTTCCCAGGGTAAGGAGAAAGAGCAAAAAATCCTACTGTAAACGAAATTGCGCTTCAAAGTAAAATAGCATGATGAAAAAGCAAAGCGCCCCAACCCCACCCACAACAAAAAAGCTGGAAAAAAAACAAAAAAAAAGAAGGCAAGCTTTTGAGTGTTTTTCCACCATTTTCCCAGCATGCAAAATTTCGGTATCGAAATGCCCCAATGCCAAGGAGAAGGCAAGCAGGGCCAAAGCACTCTTCTTCATCATGTGCATCAGATGAAAGGGCCTCAATGTGAAAGATCCTTAGCTATTTGCCACCTATGTATGCATATAATGCACCAAAATTGAGCTAAAAACTATCTTCTAAGCACCTTTTGCAAGACTAAGCTCCCCATTCTTCTAATCTTTAAGACCAAGGCCCCCAATTCACCATTAATGTGGACTGATCTTTTACTTTTGAAATATTCGTTTCCAACTTTGATGGTGAAGAATGCTGTGGCAAAACCACATAGAAGCCCTCAATTTTAAGTGATCCCCTTATAAACCCTCAACAAGTATTCAGCCTCATTCCCAAAACTCAACACATATCTTTGCAAAAATACATTTTCTGCTCTTATGCAAAACGACGTGAATTCGACATCCTTCTTGAGCAAATTCTTCGATCTCAAAGCTTGCAAGACTCGGTGCCTGGGGATAACCCTTCCCTCTAAACTAAGGGAGAAAAGCACAGGATGCGAAACAAGATAAAACTTGTCCAATTTTAATACATTAATGAAATAATCCATACCCATCGTCAATTTCTTCTCAGACAAAGAGAATAAATATGGAAACCTTCGAAATGCACACATAACATCCTCTTCGGACCACCCAAAATTCTTACACAACTCAACTTTGCCCTGCCATGTCTCCCTGCTCAGACTACTCATTGCCAAAATCGCATGAGAAAACAACCTCGAATTAGGGTTGAAACCCATTTCCTTCACCCTCTCTGCAATTTCCTTAATTCGTTTTGGTTCTATAGTAAAGAATCTGGGCTGTCTTAAAAGAAATTTATGTAACTGTGAGTCCTCAACTCCATAGCTCTCCAATAACCTTATGTTGGGTACTAGTCTCTTCTCCATATCAAATATCAGAATCCAACTAGATCTTTTGAGAGCTCTTACAACCTTCTCATTGGTGTGCAAATAGTTCTTGAGGCACTCAATTTTTGGGAGAATTTGTTTCTCAGTACTCTTTGTGAGAATGACTGGATTTGCAGAGATGATGTGTCCGAGATCGCACCCCAAAAGACCCAAATCATGGAACGCTCTGAATTTGGGTTTGAGGGTTTTCTCCACATTGGCTTTAAGAAGCTGGGGACGTTTACAGATGATAGTTTGGATATGGGTATCACTGAAATCAGAGTTTTTTAGGAAGTTTATTACAGAGAGGGGTTTTTCAGTGGTTTTAAGGTGGAGAAGACACGAAGATGCATTCATGGCTGATTCCATTGAGAGGCCAACATAGTCCATGAGAAGAGTAACAATGGAAGGAAGAGAAGCAGAGGTGGAGGAAGAAGTGAAAGGGGGAAAAGAGAGAGAAGAAGAAGAATCATTGAAAGAGCGAGATGAAGAAAGAGAGAAGGGAAGGGAAAAGAGGAATTGAGGCATATAGAGAGAATGGGGTTTTGCCAAAGCCAAGCTTTTTCTGAGGGTTGGGAGCATCATTATTCAACCAACAATGGGTACATAAAGAACAAAAGAAAAACCAGGCAGGGTAATGTAAAGAGGAGAGCAAAAATACCTCTTTTACTTAGAATGGTGGATCCAGCTGCTTCATCTTCTGCAAAATAATCAGAAACCTCCAAATAGAGAAAATGGGTTTTAAAAGCTGATACTTTGTGAGGGGAAAAAATCCCAAAACATTCAAAAAGAGAGCAAAACAGCAGGCCTGTGTAATCCCAACAAACATAAATGCTATTTTTCCCTCCCTCTCTCTCTCTCTCTCCAAAATGCGCACTCTCTCTCTAAACCCAACAGGTACACAAATCTCCGTCTCTCTCTCCTTTGCTCGTCTACGCTCGAACCCTAGAAAAGGAGTAAAATGCAGTCCGTAGAGCATGTTCCTGCGGGAGCACTCTGGAAAAGAACTCCATCAGAGAAAATAGCCGCTTGGGAGCATTTATGGAAAATTGCTTCATTTGGCCGGACCGCATTTCTACATTTGTGGTCCCCAAAGTATAAAGCATCCAGTTAATAGGTGGTTTATCTAAAAATAATTGAAACTAACTGTTCAGAAGTTTTCTTATTATTTTTAATTTTTAAAATATATTTACTCATTTATATGGGAAAAGCTAACGAACACCAAGAGCTATAATGAATAGTAATATAGGTGGAATCTCAACCGTCATATCTTCATCATATGGCTAAAAATACATATCACTATATGATTTTTAATATTTTTTTTAGAAATCAAATTATAATGAAATTTTATATGTGTGTACTAAAAAATAGAAGCACAATTAAAAAATATATAAAAAATATTTTTTAAATATAAAATGATGAAATATCCTTGAAAATAATGGAGGTAAATTTGTAATTTTAAATTACTGCAAGTAATGTTTTTATATTTTTATACGGTGCGCAATAAGGTTAGGTATATACACTCAAAATTTCATTTTAATTAGATTTATAGAAAAAATTAAAATTAAAATAGTGTTATGTATTTTGGACTACTCGATAAACATTTGACGACTGAAATTTTACCTATATTACTGTTTATTATAGTTGTCAAGTGCTCGGAAGGTTTACTGCATTTATATAAATTAATATATGAACATTATGGAGATATGTAAAACAATTTATAATTTAAGATCAATTCAATTGATGGACTTACAAAGTCTAATTAATAATGTTGGTAGTAAAAAGAGTAGCTAGGGGCGCAAAGGTACTGTTGTGTCTAGTTATCAGGGTTCACTCAATGAAAATTTTGAAAAAGGTCAAAAGTTTTAACTTTAACTTTCAAACTTAAAAACTCCCATGCTTATTACTGATAAATATAAGTACACATACATATATGTTTACACACTCCAGTTTCGAGTTTTACAATACGTATATGTTTACACACTCCAGTTTCAAGTTTTACAATACGTATTAATTTAATATAAGAGTATGGGTATACAATTAGAAAGAGAGAAGAGTGGTTTCAAGTAGAGATCAAAAAAGATTTTTATGTTACTGCAACCTTTCATAATATTGACATCTTGAAGACATCTTAGAGATCGGGAGCATCACATAGTCTTAGTTCATTTACCATCCCTCTGTCAGCATGCATATTTTTGGTAATATCTTGCACTTAAGAAAAATATAAAAAAAAACATATCATGCAAAAAATTGAGAAAAAAAAAAATGAAGCAAAAGCAATATAACATTAAAAATATCGAGCAAAAAAAATTGAAGGAAAATATCAAGCAACATTATCGTGCACTGTAACATTAAAAATATCGAGCAAAAAAAAATCGAGCAGCATTATCATGCACTTTTTTTTGTACATTAAAAATAGAAGAATCTATTTTTGTCATATTCATCCAAAAATATATTTTTTTTATCAAAAAATGTAATTTTATAAAAAAAACATAATTTTATTAAACAAAATAGAAAAACACTTCTCATAATCATCATAAGCATAGTTTTATATGCAAAATAAATTTTTTTTAGAAAAACCAATTTATCAAAAACCCCTAAAATCGAGCCCCAAATGTCTGACTTTCGTTGAAATTAGGAGTTCAATAGTCTGAACATCTCTGTCATCCACAAAAGCCTCCTATTTTGATCGAGAAACAATAAAAAAAACAACGCCACAATCTGTAGTTTGTCGGATTTTTCCCGAAACATTGAAGAACACAAAAAAAATGGGCAAGAAAAATTGATTTTCGTTGAGTATTTATCCTCAAATATGTTCTTTTATTGGATGCAATCAATAACTTCAATAAAATATTGTCAGAAAAATACTAAAAGAGGAAGAAAAAGTAGAACAAAAAATAAAAAAAATTCAAGATAAAGCTTACATTGTTTTCTTCTAACCGAAGTCCTAATCTCAAATCGAGCTCAAAATCCCTAGATTTCGATCAAATAAGGAGTGTAGTAGTGCTGATATGTCTGTTCATGAACAAAATCCCTCCATTTTGATGTAGGAAAATTAAAAAAAGAGGCCAAAATCTTTAGATTGGCGGAATTCTCGTGAAACTTTGAAGCGTACCCAAATAATAGCCAAGAAAGTGGAATTTCGATGCCATTTTGATCTCAAATTGATTGATTTATAGGCGAAAAGCAAAAATTTCGACCGATTATTAGCTACAAACGTTTGTATAAGGCTGAAAATGCAGGGAAAATGGAATCAAATGTTCAATCAAGAGAAACATGTGACTTCTGCATCAAATAAAGACCCCTATAAAAAATAACAGACGTTATATGTTATTTTTCCATTATATTATGTTACAATCCATTTTTTAAACTAACCGATCCGGTTTGCCAAAAAACTAGTAGGTTTAATATAAAAATGGCCGGTTCGACTGGATAACGGCGGGTTTTGGACAGGATATTTTTTGGGGTATTTCATATACAAGTTAGAACACCAAAACCAGCCTTAACCGGAGTCGGAACCCTAACGGTTCCGATCTAACCGGCCGGATTTACGAACACTCAGGGCCAGCAAAACCATGGAGCACAACTGATCAGAAGAGACAACACAACCGTGAAGCACTAAATGATATTCAAGATTCAACCAACAGGCAGGGGCTATAATTTGGGAGCATGGTACCCCTCTAGACTTCACTAGACCATAAGCTTTCTAGACTTGAAACTCTCTCAACTCGTAAATTTGGGCGCATTCCATGAGAAATGGAAGATTTCGTGAATCCAGTATTTGAACCAGTTGGAAATTTGCTATGGGGACATTTTCCACAAGGGTGCAAAACACAGTGTGCAATAAGATCTAAGAAAATTCAGCTGTGGCTCCAATATGTAATAAGAAGAGGAAAAAGAGACTTAATAGTTTGGCTATGTATAACGTCGATTTAACTTAGTACCAGTTAAGAGGAGCGATTTGATTCAAGAGCAAGACGCTAAAAGGGTAATGAGAATGCATAGATTAAAATAATGAAAAGAGAAATGATAACTCATAGTGTCAATGAAGAAATGATTTTTGATAGAGCGGAATAGCGAAACAAAATTCTCCTAAATAGTTGAGATGAGACTCCGATGATGATAATGATGAATCTCTTCATTTTCCCAATGGATAACAACCTTCCATTAACAATAAATAGAAATGATACACCACGAAACAATAACTTCATTTCCATCACACCGGATTTCTTCGAGTGCATTCATTATTAACCTTATATTGAGCAGTAATCTCTTCTTGATATCAACCATCAAAATCCACCAAGAGCAAATTAGGAATTTTGGATATTCAGGCTTCAAGCAAGAGACCTCCAAAGCATCATCGCAATGCACCAATCTAAGAGGCGCCGCCCGGACATGAGATGGAGCACGTCTAATCCCATGGTGTTATCAAATCATAAACCCCAAATGATATTCTTTCCTTGTCTTCAAAACAACTGGAAAAATGAAGCCATTCTGCATCTCATTTCCAATCAGGGGTGGCAATGGACCCGAACCTGACCCAGGACTCTAGGGGTAGACCCGATCAAGGTCCAAAAATTGGACCAGGCGCGTTGGGTCTGGATCCAAATAGTGTTTGGGTTTGGATCTGTCCAGACCAGACCCGTTGCCACCCCTATGCCCAATGAGCCATAATTCTCTTTCTTGCCCAAAACAATCTCAATAGACCGTTCTCATCAGCTGCACTACTTACAATTAGAGTTGTTTTAAGCCTCTAGCCTATTATTTCCATTCACGAGTCAAGAGTTGAACAAAATTTGGCATCTATCTTCACCAATGAGCCACAAAACCCATTCAACATAATATAACAGTTAGTCTTACATACAAAGTAATAGAAGTCATTCATTGAGTGGAAGAAATACAAAGCCCCATTAGAACCAAATAGAAGGAAGAAGGAAACACTAGAAAACTTAAGAGCAATGGAAACAAGAATGCATCTCGAATTTGAAAGTTAAGACCCATCCAATTTTTTGGGGATTCCCCTATCATCATCGTCAAAGCTTTTTCGATTCCCCTATCATCATCGTCGAAGCTTTTTCCCAACTAAATAAGATCGATCACACGAATCTTAGTCCGTCATTATGCTTTATTTGGGCCTACATTTGCCCTTTTTAAACTTTCCACTTGAACTAACTTGCACCTCCTAATCGGTGTTGTACTAAGTTTGAGCCACACATAACCAGCCCATCTAAATCTACTCTCTCTATCTTTTTGGGGATTCCCTTGTAAATTCCCAAAATTTTACGCAAACTTCTGCAAAAACATCTTTTTTATTTGTTTGCAAACAGATACCATATCTGCATCCCTTTGAGCAATTTTTAGATCTCAAAGGTTGTGGTGTATGTGCCTAGAGATCACCCTTCCCTCCAAACTAATCCGAAAACGTCGAGGATTACACATCAAATGGTTCTTGCCAAACTTAATTTTCTTAGTGCAATATGAGCTTACCAAACTTAATTTCGTTAGTGAAATATTCCATGACCCCCTGCAACTTCTTCTTTGAAAAAAACAAATTTGGAAACCTTCGAAATGCGCATGCAACATAATCCATGAGAAGGAAAAAGAGGAATTGTGTTTTGGATCACCCATAATCCATGTAACATAACCTTCAAAATGCAGCATAGTGTTTTGGATCACCCACTGATCTGGATAGGCCGATCAATCCAAATTGTCAAACCAGTTTAAACTAATGAAAAATAAAATTGGGGCCATTTTGGGGGAGGGGACCCTGATTGACCACCCATTGAAACCAATCAGGATTGGCAATTCCAGATCCAGAATGCCAAGTTTCAAACATTGATTCTTATGTTCTCAGTTTATTACATGCCTGACTCAGTTTATTATGGTACATGAAGCATAATCAACAATTATAGTTTCTTGAATTCCTGTAGTTTATCATTAGTTCTCAATACTAGCAATTAGGTTGTGAAAAGTGGTAAGAACCAGCA